TTGGGATTTTTACTCATTGCTAGACTAATTTAGCCTTCATGATCCAACACTTAAAGATATATCAGAACCTAGTTAAGCACCAAACCAGAGAATAGAAGGAATATGCTAGGTAATTATCAGTGTATCATATCCTTCTTGGAGTTAGGAGCCAAATGATCCGGAGCTATTTCCCTAGTTAAGCCACTTAACATTACTAAGCATCAGCTCTGTATTTTCTAAAATGAAGCTAGGAAAATGTTCCTAATAAAGCTGCTATAAAGGCTAAATAATCATGATATCTATGACAATATTTTATGAGCTCTCCTCTCAAAGTTTTCACCTCTTTGTAAATTACAACCTCATCCTTATAGTTACACACATTAAGAATTTTGGTTTTTGTTCTTAACTCCTTTTTCTCTTTCTCTGATGTCCCATATCTGGGCAGTGAGCAAATCCTCTTGACTTTATCTTCAGAATATATCTAGAATGTTACCTTTCCTCACCTTCTTCACGATTGCCATTTTGATCCAAAACAGCATCATCTTTCACCTGGATTCTTCAAAAGCCCCTCCTCCATAAAGCAGCTGGAGTGACCCCATTAAAACGTTCATCAGATGACATCTTCCCTCTTCTCAGAATGACAATCTACCCAGCACTAAAGCTGAAGCCTTCACATTGACCCACAAAGCTCCACTTGATCGGGCCTCCTGCTCTCTCTGACCTACTCTCCCTCACTCTCTTCATTGCTCCTCCATTTCAATCATCCAGATTTTCTTGCAATTTTGCAAACTTGTCAAGACTACTTCTGTTTCAGGCCCTTTACCCTAGCTACCTTCTTAGACTAGAATACTGTTCTCCTGGAGAACTGCAAGACCTACCTCCATACTTGCACCATTTTTTCACTTGAATATCACCCTACCATTGGGGCCCTCCCTGGCTGTCCTCTATAAAAAAAAAAAAACACCCCTCCCCCCATCAAGTGTTTCCTAGTGCCCATTACCCTGCTTTACTTCTCTCTTACTTTTGTTCTTGTATATGATCACTTTCAGCAGAGCTCTGCAGTCCTTCTGAGCACAGGCAGCCTTGTACTCCCTACTCCTTTGATATTAGGTACAGACACATAACTGGCCTCTGCCAACGAAATGTGGTACATGTCTCTTCCTAGTAGGAGCTTTAAGAGTCAGCAAGTCAGCATAAAAGTCATTATATTTCTGTTGAAGATCATAGCTTTGGGTCAAGATGGAGCCTCGGGCACTGAATCACTATGTAACTATGAATTGCAGACCCCTCCACTAATTTGCTTCTAACATGTAGCATGAGTGAGAAATAAACTTTTATTGGGTTAATCCACTGAGGTTGCAGGTTATTTCTTACTGCAGCACAACCTAGATGGTCCTGACTAATATAGCACCTGACATATATTTACTTTCTCATCCAGGTACTGTCTGATTTGCACACCAAAACATAAGACTCATGAGGGCAGGCCCTTCACCTATTCTGTTCACAGATATATCCCTGGTACACAGAATGATGAGTGGCGCATAGTGAATGTCCAATAACTCTTGGTTGAATAAATGAATATAAGGATAAATGTCATCTTAATATAAGACAAGCACTATCCTAAGTACTTTGTGGTTATTATTTGATTCCCACACTACCACCCTATAAGACTGGTACTATTATTGTTACACCCATTTTGCAGATAAGGAACTATGACACAGAAGGTCACAGCAGTGCCAGGCACAAAGTAGAAAATCAGGAAGTATAATTTCTCTGTCTTTCCCAAGTAGAAGAAATAGGAGTAATTAATATTCAATTCCCTCACCTAATAAGTGCTGACTTAATGCTGGCTAAAGAATTTGGATAAGTGTAGTATCACAGAATCTACTGATGCAACTTAAAAGATGATAAATTTCTACCCTCACTACTCTCTAAAAATGTTGTATTAAGAAAAATTTTATAAATTATTCTAATGGTACTATCAATTTATCTCAAAATAATGTTTGCCCATCATATTTAGGCCATTTCTTTGTGGATAAGTATTCCCATATTTAGGCTAAGTTCATGACAGAGGCAGAATAGACAAGTTTTATAAAAAAGTAATCAAGGGGTGAAGAGGGTAGATATTCCTATTAAATTCCAGCATGGAAACTTCCTAGATGTATTACTGTAGATAAGTTACTTAGTATTTCTGTGTTCATTTATTCACTATGAAATAAACATACTAGTATGTTTATTGTCTATTAATAATGCCACTGTAAGTACATAAAGTGCTTGACATAAAATTAACCAATAAATGGTAGTAAAAAAAAATAACATGAGTTTCTCCCCTACTCCTGCCTTTCCTCCATGGCAGTGTTTCCTAATATATTCTAGGAAACACTAATTCCATAAAATTTAAATAGCAATTACAAAAAAAGTATTTGTGGTGATCACATATTTAGGGGAGCACAACGTTGTTTCCAGCTGCATGGGTTCTGGAGGTGCATTGCTGAGGTTCCTTCCCACTCACTAGGCGTGCACTGTGGACTCCTTTCTTAACTTCTTGGTGACTCAAATTTACCATCTGTAAAATGCAGATAACTGCATCTAAATTATAGGTGATTTTAGGTATTAAATTAGATCATCTACATATTTGATAACCATATAATTTGTCATTCAAACCAGGACATTTCTTTCTAATATTTTATTTTGAAAAGTTCAAGCCCTGGCTGGTGTGGCTCAGTGGACTGAGTGCCAGCCAGTTCAATTCCCAGTCAGGACACATGTCTAGGTTGTGGGCCAGGTCCCCAATAGGGGGTGTGTGAGAAGCAACCACACATTGATGTTTCTCTCCCTCTTTCTCCCTCCCTTCCCTCTCTCTAAAAATAGACAAATAAAATATTTTTAAAAAAGAAAGAAAAGTTGAAAAAACTTTTATCTACCACCATATATATTACTTAGACTATATAATTAACATTTTTTTCCTAAATTGTATAATCACATGTATATCATCTATCTTTCTATCTTTTTGTTCTTCTACAACACCTTTGAGAGTGAAAGGAAACACTATTAACATTTATGCAAACTCAAGCAGGTAATATTTGGACTCTGCCAAGCACACCTGGATACACATTAGCCCTATGAATAATTTACCTATCACAATAATTGGCCATTGTAAACATACAATAAATGATAGTTATCAGAGCTGCTAATTAAATTCTGAAAGTTCTGGATTAAGCAAAGGCACACATCATTTTGTCATGAAGGCATAATCCTGGATACCTTCCTGATGACTGAAGTTCAAGTTTGTAAGAGATCACCTCCATGTGACTACAAATTTTCCTTTACAGTGAACAGAGTCATTGATTCTTAGTGCTCACTGTGGCATCAATGCCCCACCCCTGAAACCTGGAGAAAAATAATAAAACTGAAAAACCATCTTAGCTAAGAAGCATAAAATATCTGCCCAGTTCACCACATTGTAAAAGAAAGTCCACTTCTGCTTGTAAAGTTTCCCAACTAACCACTTAATAATTGTCCTACTCAAATTCCGCTTTCAGCTCCCACACACTTATTTGATTGTTTGCAGATGAGTGGCTTATCAGACAGATTGAAGAATGGCTCACTAGCTGCTTTTGTAAACATTAGCCAACTTGGCCAAGGAGAGGTATACTTACAACTCAGTTTAATGTCGAGAATAACAATGAAACTAATAAAGTGCAACTACCATGTATCGAGCAGTTACTATATGCCAAATAATCTGTTCTGTACTCCACATGGAGTATCTCTGAACCTGACATCTAAAACTGAGTTTATATCTCTTCTCTTACAATCTGTGATTATTTGACTTTTACTAGATCACTCAACCAGCTCATCTATAAAATCTGCACAAGGATATCTGACCATTCTGGTTCTCAGGATTGTTGGGAGGATTGACTATGATGCTATAGACACATGGACTCTGTCAAATACAGACTTCTATACAGGATACATTGTTTCATCTTGGTTATCAGTTCTCTACCAGTACCCAGCAGAAGTATTCATGGGTTCAACTAGTTCAGTGATAGATGCTAATAAAAACTACTACAGTTGTAAGGCCTGAGGAATTTTTGCCTGGGAAGAGAAAAATGTGTTTTTATCATAATAAAAATATGATAAATACATGATAATATAAGAAAGAAATACATTATTCCCACTGCATGTAGAACATTAGCTTGAGGTTCTCTGATGTTGGATAAATCCTATGATTCCCAAACTCCTTATCATTTAAAGTGGGGCACACTATCAACCGTGACATAGGGTTATGATGAGAACTAAATAATACAGGATATATAAAAGCAAGTTACAAAACTGAAAACCACCTGGACATGACATAATTATTCTTTCTGTGTATCTGAATATTCACAGTTCCTGTAATGTAGATAATTTAGACTCTATAACTTCTTAAAATTAGCACTTATAAAGCTCCCAGAATGTATGTATTTTCTATTCCATGAAAGAAATCATTTCACTTAATCTTTAATAGTGTATAACATTTCTAGACAAATACAAACTGGGCTACCAAAACATGTAGTGTGTCATAAAATGTCAAGCAAATGTGCACTATGTATCCCAAAGAGCCTCCCAAAGTAGTGTTTGTAGCCTGATCTCACTTAACACTCCTGACATATTCCCCACCCCACACTGGACAGGTGAAATTCTTCTGGCTGACAGATTGTGTTTGCAGAATAAATTAAACACGATAAATAGTGATGTTGAGTTTTGTCTCCACCCAAAAAGTATTTTCTTAAAGTTTATGGAATATGTTTTTAACAGAAATCAATCCTGCAATGCAAAATTAGCTTCTGGTTTGCAACTCTGTTGCCTTTGCTAATAAATATCTTCCAAGTTGTCTTGTACTGACATTGTAACTAGTAAAACACAGAAAGAGAGAGGGGAGGTAGGGAGAGAAGAGAACAGGAGATAAGAGCTGTACAAATTTTTGGTGAATAAATTTCAAATACTCTCTAACTGTATTTTCTTATTTATTTCCTTCCTGAAATTAGGTAGAGCTAATAACTAAGACCTTCACATTCAGTCAGTAATTTCCTTATTTCTATATAGTCTCTTATTTCTACCCCAGAGGAGTCTGGCATGGCAGAAAGACTGCAAACAGCAGCACTAGGGGTTTGAAGATGGGTTTGAATGCTACCTTCATCTCCTAACCTAAGGCCATCAGACCCCCACCCTCAGCCTCATCTCTAGAGTGGGTACTGTGTTCACTATTTCTTATTGCGATCAGGATAAGTCATGAAAGCACTAGTTTACTGTTCTTACTGAGTGAATAGCAATGAATGAATATCTACTTCCTCTCTCTTTTTTCAGTCATCAGCTCATTCATTCATTCATTCATTTATTCATTGTATACAATGTAAATGAAGTGCAATATTTGGGGACACAGATATTAGTATGAACTGCATCTAAATGTCAGATTCTTCATCTGTAACCTTGGGTTCAATTAAGTGCCTCTGAGCCTGCCCTAGGGGTTAAGGGTAGGGTGACTGAAGGAAAAGGATGAACTCATGGCAAAGTTCAGAGCTCCTACCCTCTGCCTTCAACTGTAGCTGCTCTATGTTCATCCTGGTTATAAATCAAGATTTCATACAAGATATCCCAGTTAAGAAATAATACCACTGGTGTGAAACAAAGGAAAGAAAATCTCTGGACCAGTCAAATAGTTAATGATAGCTTTCCATTTCTGTTCTAGTTTCCAGTAATTCGATGTATTCCTTAATGAGTGAGTAATCCTGAAGACTCAGTTTTTCAGGGAGCTACAAATGCTATGGGGCTTACAACATGGTTCCTACTGTAATGGTTCTCACAGTCTCATAAGGAAGATAACACATCTGCCCAGGACTGTTGGGAAATCATGAGACAGTATGAGTGCCACTGTGAATGGGGTAGTGGGAAGGTGTGGGAACTCACAAATGGGAGAGGAACTGAAGACCTAGTATAGTGAGGGCTCTCAGGTGGACAGGAAAGGGAGAGGATTTGGGTTGGTAGAGAGGATGGGACAGCCACATGCATTGGTGGATATAGCATATGCAAACATGCAGAGTGAAGAGAAGGACATGAGAATGTGGAGAGCAAGACCAATAAAATGGCATTGGTTTGGCCAAGATAGCATAAAGTATATAAAACAAAGTGGAGTCACTCATGTCAACCAAGATGGCTGCCAGTCCACCTTGACACTTTGATTCATGAGGGAAACTACCTAAGTCAGAGCAGACACATCTGGCAAGGAGACATATCTAAGATATCTGCACAGGTGATCAGAATAATCATGACTGCAGAGTAGGACCACATATCAATAGGCTACTGGGGAAATTCCACACTTGCCATCAGGGATGCCTAGACACTTATCAAGAGACCCAGAAGGGTGAGTCCATCACTTTCAAGGTATAACTGAAGCAGGCTCCCGACCACTGTTGAGACAGCTGAGCTCCACACACTAGAGTACTGCTGATATCCCTTGGCATCGGCCGCTGGAGGCTCTGCCCTGCTAGACTGACGACTTCATCTGCCCTGCTGCCCACCTGGCCCTGGAGGTCCTTCCTTGCAAGATGCTGACTTTGCCCACCATGCTGTCGGCTGGACCTGCAGACTGAGACTTTGGGACTCAGGTCCATTATTCCCCATTGATTGCTCTGTGTGTGTGTGTGTGTGTGTGTTATATTCCTCTAAGATTATTAGAGTGTGAGTAGGATATTAATGTATGTTGATGCTCTACTTTGAGTGAACTGCATTCAATAAAGCTGATTGAGTAGCATAGTTCCTGTGTGTGACTCTTGTCTATTCCTTGGTGTGGGGCTGCTCAGCCCCACTGGCAGTTAGGCAGCTAACTGATCAGTTCCCTGGCTGACTTATAGGAAAGACTATATCACAAACATATGCTCATGACAGAGAGGTACAGGAACCTCCAAGAGATGAGCTATTTCCTACTAGACAGTGATGAGCGGAGACGTTGTTTTATAAGGCCGTAAAGGATAAGCAAAGGCATTTGGAATTTATGATAATCAAGTCCAGTGGGAGTTGTTTTGAATAGGACATAATAAAAATCATGTTTTAGGAAGCTAAATCTACTGATTTTTAAAAAATTGGGATAGAAAAACCAGGGTTCTAGCCAAGGAACATTTCAATATTCCTCACCTTACTTTGCAGCATTTGACATTTGCAGCATGTGATCCCTTCCCTGACACAGTTTCGTCACTTGGCTTATAGGACACTGTGATCTTCTGGTTGTGCTCCCACCTCACAAGCTGGTCTGGTTCGCTGATTCCTCCCATCTCTCCAGTCTTGATCTTAGAATGCCTTGGGGCTCAGCCTTTGGGCCTCTTCATCTTTCCAGGTACATGAACTCTCCTGATTATTTCATCCATTCCAATGGCTTTTAATACTATCTATCTGCTATGCCTTCCAAACTTAACTTTCCCACACAAACCTCAGCCTTGACCTCCACGTTGTTGTAAACACTCAGACGGAAATTCCTCAAGCATCCTCCTCTTACAAAATGGCAACTCCTTTTCTCCAGCTGCTCAGGCCAAACCGTTGCAGTCATCCTTGCCTGCACTTCTTTTCTCACCCATGTCTAACCATCAGAAAACTTCCTTGGCTCTACCTTCAAAATATATGCAGGATCTTGACACTTCTCACATCCTCTACCACTCCCAGGCTGGTCCAAGCCACCATCATCTTTCCCAGGGTTACTGCAATAGCCTCCAAACTGGTTTCCTAACTTTTCCACCCGTCTTCCTAGAGTCTATCTCAGTATAGCAGTCAGATTAATTCTGTTCAAGTGTAAGTTAAATCATGTCTTATCTCTTCTCAAAATGCTCTGATAGCTGCACCTCTCACTTGGCAAAAAACCCAAATTCCTTACAATGGTCTTCTGGCCCCTGCTTGCCTGGCCCCTGTCTCCACATCTTCAACTTCTTCTCTACTTTACTCATTCTCACCTCAGAGTGTTGCTGTAAACTGCTCACTCTCTCTGGAGTGTTCTTCCATGAGATATCCATGTGGCCTGTCATATATATATGCTCAGAACATGTAGCCATCACCCCCTGCATCCCCTATCTGCTTTTCCAGCATTATCTTCCTCTGTGGCTCTTAAGCTGCCAGTATACTTGCTGTTTTTTAGTGATTTATTTTATGTATTTGCTGACTTTCTAGAAAGTAAGCTTAGTGAAGGCGGGACTAGGTCAGTTTTGTTTGCTCCCATTTCTTGGTGTCTAGAGCAGTGACCATAGTAACGACTTAGCAAATAATTATTAGTAAATGAACATATTTAAGTCTATAAGGATTTTACTATGGTGGCAACAGTAGCTTGAAGGAAGAAAAAAAGGAAAGAGAAATTTAAAAATTAGAAGTTCGAAGTGGCCTGCTGGAAATAAGTGAAAATGAAGGAAAAACCCTGTGGTTTTCACACTAGCAACTCCCTGTCACTCAGACTTCTCATTGTAGGTACATAAAACTGCCATTCACATAGGTGTCCCCTTTTCTGAAAGTAAAAATGACATAAATAAAAAGAAGAAAGCCTCCTATATTAAAAAAAAAATCCCTTTGCATAAGGCAGATCTTCACAATGAGTTAACAAAGACAAAAAAAGCAACCCAGAACTTTTCAATTTTAAAAAACTTTTGTATACTTTTTCAAGAGAAAGTTATTGTTCCCGTTGTTGGGCAAGAAAATAGGTCCAACTGTTAAATGACTTGCTCAGAAAGAACAACATGACTTGAGCTCAGGGAGCCTGATGATTTTGTTGGTATTTACCTAAGACAGAGACCGACATTTAGTCAGCACTGAAAACAGGCTTGGGAAACTGAGTAGGACTAAAATGCATGGGTACAATTAAGAATTCAGTCTATATCACAGCATCAAAAGGCTACAATCTTCACTACTTTGATGGTTTAACACACAAGAGTTATATTTTTTAGATGATGTCATATGTTACACAAGTAGTTGTAAACAAAAACTTTGGTAATACCTAAAGTTTATGCTAAGTACAGTACAACAGATAGAAATAAATGACAACATGCCATAAACATAAGAAGAGCTCAATAAATACGTATTTATTAATTTAAAGACATGTGGTCTCTTGCCTTCAAGAAACCTCCAATCTGAATGGGAAGGCAAAAGCTACATACTAGGGAACAACTTTGAAAAACCTGATATATTACACAAATAAATTATCAAAAAGATAAGAAAGACAGAAAGTTCTATAGACAGTCATGGTGGGAAAAAAGTAATGTAGGCAGACAGTCTTTAGGTAATGAAATAAACTAATTTCCTTTGGGGAAATAAAAGGAAGAGAGTTACAAATTGATCAAGTGGCAGGTGGGAGTTGGGGGTAGGATAAGAACATTCCAGGAGAGGATTATCAAAAGACTATATTCCAGAACATGTAACAAACAACATAATGAAAAACATATGACTCTTCCCAATTCCAGAGAAAGACACCATCTCCCAGAAGATACAATAGCTAGAACTTACTTGAGAAAGAGCTTCTGGATCCTCAAGTCTCGCCAGTCTCCCTGGGAGAGTAGATAGGTGGCAGTCGCCTCATTTTTAACTTCTTCATGTTACAGGAAAGAGCCAAAGCCACAGAGAGATAGAGAGAAGGAGCAGCTCTCCAAAAGTCCTCCTGCAAACTAGAGGAAATGAAATCATTGAGTAGGGAGAAGGGAGAATGGAATACTTCTAACTCTTAGTTTGGCTCAGCAAAGCACCTTGCTTTAATAAAAATGAAATCTTCACAAGTTATACATATTTAATTTTCTGATTCAAAGATGAGTCAGAAGAGGAAAACAATACTTGTGAATCTTTCATTGGTAGAGAGAGATGTTTTCTAAAGTGTTCCCAAAGCTTTCTGAGGTCAGACTCATCCTGAGGTCGCAGTAACACAAAGGATTTGTATTCATAGACGTGGCTCAATGAGACCAAAGTAATCATAATTCTTATGTAGTAGATGTCATTAATCAATAGGAGGGGATATAAACAGTCACACTCTTCCCTCCCTGTGCCAGGAAAGAGAATGGCAGTCCATTTCCGGACACATGCCACAAGCCA